GTTGAAAGGGTCGGGATTCCGTCGTCGTGTAATTTATCGTGTCGAGGAAATCTGATGAAATTTCTCCGGGGACTCGTGAAAGGTTTGACCCCCGTCGGGGGCGATCGGGACAGAAACGGGAGGAATCCAGATGAACGCGCGATGCGTACGTGCGGTCCGCGGTGTACGCGCCGCCACCGAGGAAGATAGCCGGGGCCGGGTAGTCGGGTTCTGGTCCGCGAGGCTGCGGTATCCGACGAGGAGGGTGCCCTTGAAGCGGGCGGGGTCGTCACTCGCAGGGCCGCGGGTAAACGACCATCGGAAACCCATGTGTGTTACCAGCCGGGGCTCCTCGGAGAGCCGTATAGCCGTAGCTTTACTTACTCGCACTACTTAAGTTTCTGGGTGTGTATGCGTGTCTCACGCTGATCTCCCTCTCCCCCATTTCTCTTCATCTCTCCCTCTCCCCCGCGGGAAGCACCACCACGTGGAGAGAGAGAGAGAGAGAGAGAGAGAGAGAGAGAGATATCACGAGAAAACCTACCTTGCCCATCTTACCACTACCCACCGTGGTGGAAGCGCCGGCCGACCGGCGGCGACCACTTCTCTTGGCCTCTTACGAGTGTTATGAAACGATTCCTACCTTCTTCCTTCACGCTGCCAATTTATAGGTTTAATTACTGCCTCGTGGCGCGGTTATTCGCGATCCTCGTCGAGCAAAAATCCGAAACTGGATCATATACGCTCGACGTTAAAAGCGATTTAATCCGTCGGACTGCTGTATTAATCGACGATAAGCGATTTGTCCGCTTTACAGATATCGCTCGGGACTATCGACTATCAGCGACAGGAGTACAAGCGGTGTTGGTAAAACGCACTCGCGCTCCAGATGAATGTTTAACTCTTTCGCCGTCGACCCAATCGGGTCAGTTACTTATGATATACAGACATATAATACAATCAGAGAGGAATGTGATTAGAATTTTAGGATATAAAGTCGAAATATTAGCAGGAAGTACTATTTAATTAATGTGCATTCCTAGCATAAGTAATATCCATTAATCTCATTTTCAATGACGTATTCACCGAGTTTATCGCCATTTTCAACATTTGTGCTCCTTCAAGAAGTTGAAAAGTAATTTTTGAATGTAAGAAAAAGAAATGATTAAAATGGCACAGAGAAATAATTTCCAATGAATAAATTAGATCGCTCTAATTTCATAGCATCTTCTAGCCGTTTATTACTAATTTCATAGCATCTTCTAGCTGTTTATTACTACTGATATGTTTGTTCATAACCAATGTTTTCAAAATCAATCACCGGAAATTCCTAATTTACAGTTTCGCATTAAATTGATACAGAATCTTTATCTTTTTTTTTACAAGTTTCATTCTTTAATCTTTTCGTGCTTGATTTATTTCTAGAAATAATTAACATCTAATTCACGTCTTATCGCTGATTATATATTTGTAGCAAAAATTTCAAAATTCAAAATGAAAGTAGAATTGTGATAGAATTGATTGTTTTTATTTATATTTCGTCAGTTACATTAGAATTTAACATCTTACATTTGAAAATTTTGACTTTAGACTTTTTTCATAATTAGAGCGAATTGAAAAACTCTTCAAAAAATAAATTTCATTGAATCCCAACACAATTCAGCATTTAGTCTGCTGTATTGAATCTGCATTTTGAATTAAGCCATTTTTTTATATAATATGTTGATCTTCAAAATAAACCTAAAAGAATTCGCTTCTTATTTTTTGTGGAAAATATGTATTTTTCACTTTTATCCTATTTCACGAGTATTTGAGGTAACACATCAAGGAATGAAGCTCACGAGGGTATTAATTTTTTCGTGAAGATCCTATCCTTCATCTCTAAAATAAGCCCAGGAAGAAGTCGCTATCTTTATTTTTGCGGATGTGAATTCTTGGAGAATTGGAACCATGTAGATCTCACTCAATATGAAAGGGTTAAGTAAATTTGCGGTCGGAATTTTTATAAAAAATACAATTGAAAAATTGCTAAATGAAAAAAAAAACCTATCAAGACTAATGAACTGTCTTGATTAATAAAAATTACACATGTCAAAACATTATACATATCGATATTAACGTATTTAACATATCGATGTGATCTTTCGTTTTCAAATAAAAAAAAATTGCAAAAATTTCGGATTTTGTTCTCAGCGAAAAAGGGCTCGAGAAAGGGAAGGACTTTGGGTAGCAGGCGAAAAGCGCGATAGCAGATGGAGAGGAAATGGTTCGCGATAGGTCGTGTTGCACGAGGGCAACCTTGGACATAACTCGGTAGGGCTGGGACGTACTACGGTGCTGCTACAGCCAGTAATGAGCCAAATCCATTACGGCAGCAGGAGCAGCAGCGGCAGCAGCAGCAGCCAGCAACACCGTAAGCCAACCATACCACTACGACTACGCGTCCGACTCTGCACGGTCTCTCCCATCTTCCCCTTTCCCCGGCCATCCGCTTACCATCCACCCATCCGCGATCTGTACGTGTGCCTATGCCACGCACGTACCGTGTCGTTAACAAGCCCCTAACCAATGGCACCGGTTCGGTACCGATTCCAATTATAGACCGCGTTAGAGTGCGTTCTACGTAGCTCCTAGGCGCATATACATTGAGCATCGCAGTAACCGGAGTCTCCCATCCATACCTTCTTCTCCTTTTCCTTCCGCCCCTCCTGCACGCGCTCCCCCGTCCTCGTCATCCCTCTGCTTCTCTTTCGTCGGTCCGGATCGGCGGAACCGATTGTCTTTACTCCTTGCTCGAGTACAGGCCGAGACAATTTTACGAGGGACTGAAATTCGCGGGGCGAATTTCCGTCGCCGGTGAGCTATCGTTGAAAGGACTTGGTACGCGACGCGGTGGTCTCGGCGTATCGCGCAAGGTGTACTCGCAAGGTCACGACGCGCGACCGAGGGACACAACATCCCTCCCCGCAGCCGCTTCCACCACCGCCGCCGCCGCCGCCGCCGCCGCCGTCGCCACCGCCGTCCGCGTCGCCGTTACCGTCGTCGTTGCGGTCGGTGGTGGCGCCACGCAATTGTCAATTAACATTTTTACCGACGCGTAAGAAAACACGAAGCTACATACCGTAAAGCCGCGTACGTACATGCCCGCGGTTGGTCCGCGCTCGACGGGGGTTCACGGAGGGGGTCATGAAAGCGATGCGCGCTGGTGCAGGGCCGAGTAGCCGGCATTCGGCAATGAGCGAGAATGGACGAATAATCGCATTCATTTATATATTTTTATATGACAAACACACAACATTCCCTGTCTGCGACGCTCCTTCGAATCTTACGTTCCCATGCGAAACGAAGCTAACACGTTGGCGATCGGCTTTATAACGTGATTAATTTCAATTTTAATTTTCGAGACAAAGAACAGGATCTGACGTTATTAGCACACCAAAATCAAACCGAACAAGGAAATTTTTTTACTCTCTAAATTTTCTGGAGTGAATCTCACTCTAAGAGTGAAATCTCACTCCAAAAGAGCGAAAATACTGTCACTCGGCCACTTGAGTGGCAGTATTTTCACTCCTTAGAGTGAAATTTCACTCCAAAAAATTTAGAGAGTACAGATTAAAAATTATGAAATATAAAAACTCAAATATAAACAACAAATCGATTTAAAAAATTCATAATAAACGCGTTACCTTAATAAAAGATTTATAATTAAAGGAATATCCAGTGATATCTTCAAGCTATATACCTACAGATACATATCTTCGGATACGTCTAGAGAGAGAACGTGGACTCGTTTTTCATTCCGTATATTCGCGAGACGCGATTAATACCATTATTAATGCGGATATATCCCTCCCCAGTTTATTCTTTTTTTCTTAAAAGATTCTGCTAATCGAGCTGCACAGGTCGGCCGGACGCGATCCGGAGACTCTATGGCACAATATTTCTGGATTAGTCGGTCTAGATTAAATTCCACGACGCTCTAACGGCGCGAATAATATCCCGTTCGTGCGAGATCGACGATAATTTATAAACTTGCCGAGGCGCAGCCACGAATTTTTTAAGCGTTTCGCCATTTCTGGCTCAATCGTGATACCGGGGTTGTTCTGATTATTTATTACAGGAACGGAATTTATTTATTCGCCCGATTGCCTTACTTTGTTGAGGATACGTTGCTAATTCAGAAAATCTGAATACTAACGACAAATTCTGAACTTTCCATGGAAATATCGTGAGATTAGCGCATTAAATTAGAACGCGTACACTTCGTTCATCTGATTCTTATCTAATGATTACAATTTCATTAGAATAATGAAAATAATCTTTGTGTCAGACTTTCCTGAAGTTATTTATATTATAGATATAATCAAAATTTAAAAAAGCCTAAATGGATCTGTTAAGACATACCTTAGCGAACACCACATTGTATATCAAACGCGCATTCGTTCGTTTAATAATTATTAATCTAATAATAGTTAAATCGATTTTATATGTCTATTTTTTTACTTCATGTTATGTGATATTACATATAAGATAAAGTTTCTTCATCTGCTTTGCGCAGATCTGACATGTAACTTTTGCAAGTTTAAAAAAGCCATAATTATAGTAAAATGCTATTATAATGCACGAGACTCTACGAGAGAATGTGGACTAAGAAAAGAGAGATATAAAGTTATTTTAATAATGCGAAACTGGGCAACCGAAAGATAAACACTAGTTTTATCAATCTTTAGCAGATGCGAGTGGAATACGAAATGACGATTTGTTCTGCTCGATAGAATTCGCAGTAAACGCGCCGTTGAGATATGTAACGGTTGAGATACAAACTGGACGTATTTATGTATGAACCGGCATTCGCGAGATGCAAATATCGGGCAGTTGGACAAGCCAATCTACAGCAACATCGAGCTACTTGCTCGACAAACGAATCTTCGAATGACCAAAGGAGTACAACCGACGCCATTTACGCTCTCTTTTCTTTCACCAGAAAACGTGCAAGTATATCAATAGTAATAAACACTCACCCTATCTTGGTGATGAGCTTTCCGTGAACATGAAGGTACGAAGTGACAAACCGCTTATTCACCTAACAAAAAAAAAATAAAAAACTGTATAACGAGATAGATAAAATACACATATATATGTATATAGAATTGTCTTTTTCATCAGACGTATTAAAAATGTACTAATACAGCTTTGACTACAAGAATAAAGTACCTCCATAAATTAACGTAAACGTTATATATCTAACAAAAAAATAAATTTTAAAAATCTTAGTAAAAATTAATTTTTATAATTTTAATATTTTGCTAGTTCTCGTATGACTCTTACTAACGACTTTTCCAAGAAAATGTAATAAATCGAGAATATTTCATAATAGTAGTAGTCAAGATTATAGTTTTATCAAAAACATATGAACAATATATTAATAATAATTTTCAGACATATATTCAAGATATATATTAATTATATACATAATCATTATTAATGTTTATCGATCACATATGAAAAAAAAATTTAAGAAATCATGCATATCAAAAGTTTTCAAAACTTTTGCATTTGCTTAGTAGACGCGTAGCACTTTATCGTTTGAGTACGAAGGATACACACTATGGAGGATGGCGTTCGGAAGTTGTTAGGCAAATACGATGTTGCAACAGAAATGGATACCTCGACACTCGTTAATTGCGATAACTCCTCCAAGTCGCTTGCGTGGGACAATCTCGCTTCGTTGGTCGCGCTCGTTGTACGTCGTACCCGCCTACCGTCACCTGGATGAATCCACGTCTCTCGCCTCAGCCCGCCGCCGATGATGTTCGCGCCTTCTTTTTCCTTCATCCTCGCGCGCTCCTTCGACTCCCTTTCCTCCTTCCGTTTACGTTCGATAGACTCGTACTAAGAATATTTCGTTTACTGAGAGAGTACCTCTACCGTGTATATACCTGATGTATTTACGATACATCGTGTAACGGATGCAGTGCACGGTATAAACCGGCCGTTACAATTGTCGGTGTATGTTACATTTGCCGTTATATGCACATCTTCGCCATGTATGTATGTACAAGTAAAAGATAAGAGCACTGCATGACGCTACGCCCCGCGACCAACTTTATCTCTTTTACAGATTCTTTAGCGGAGATTTAGTTCGTGATCTAATTACCGAACCATTTGACGCGAAATATTAAATACTTGCGAAAGTTGTTTCTTATCTTAAATTCGTTTGATTTCCGTTGAAAAATTTTATTACTGGAGTAAAGACGACGAGCTTGGTAGCGGGGCTTCCTTTGTACAGTCAGCTAGTCATACAAACGAGTGTCCATTGGACAATATTTGTATTCCTCATTTGTACAAGTTCCCGCATCTATGATAAGTGCATGCTAACGAAATGTGCAGAGCTCTAGCGAAGATAAGAAAAGTCTCTAACTTGGAATTTACAGCGAAGCATTTCTGGAAATTTAGAAACGTTGGCTCTTACAAAACAGGCAGTCTCAAAAATGCTGCAGGCATATCGTTAGCAGATATTGTGTTCTTGTGTGAATTTGTCCAAAAATATGAGTGGTGCCGCCGCCCACCTTTCTATATTATTGCAATGTTCTGTACATATTTTCTTTCTGTACAGTGTTCTTAATCTTTTATTAAAACTAACATTCGCATGAGCGATTACAATAAAAAATAAAAAAAAATTGATATGCAGAAGTGTATTCAGCTAATGGCAAATATATGCAAAAATTATATTTACTATTTTAACTAATTACAGTTTGCAAAAGGTATTAATTTGCCGCATTTGCTATCAAGAGTTAATAGAATGTAAAGAATCTAAGTGCATGGATTAAAACATCAAGGCTCCAAAAAGCACGTAAAATCTAGTATAACGAGCAGTGAAATAATAAACAAATAATAAAGCCTTGACCAAATAAATAATATATGAACATCTAGACAGTTCACACCACAAGTATCAAAATTTACTTACATAATGTAGATACTGGCGGCAAAAGAAAATCAAAATATTATTAACGTTAGTATAAATACAAACGGTTTAACAATACGTTTCATAAGTTCCCTTACCTTTTTCCTGTTTTCGTCGAAGAGTCCTATCAAGCTTTCTCTGGCAGAATGGAAAGGATTGGACGCCATAAGAGATCGCATGTAATAATACACGGCATCCAACTTCCGTCTCTAAAAACGCGAAAAAATATTAAAAAAATATATATATAATACGTTAAAATACATTCATCATAAATGTAATTTGTAAGTACGTACCGCATAATGTGCCAGTAAGGCAAGTTGATTATAAGGTCTGCCGTTTTTAGGATTGATTTGCTGTGCTTTCAAGTACCACCTGTACAGAGAAAAAGATGCAAGAAAAAATTAAAACAAAATTGATGGACTCTCGATGTTCAAAATGTAACGACAAAACGGACAAATGAGAGTCAAGCGCAATTAGTGAGGCGTAAAGTTATCTCTTTTAATAATAATGAGAACGAGGTATAAAGTTTACATTAAAAAAAAAAATTAAATCCAATATATTGAATCTTTAGAATTATTACTGTAATTATAATTATATATATTACAAATACTCACTGCCTAGATTTTCCGTAGTTGCTCGTTTCGTTTGCTTGCTCCTTGTACCTCGCCAAATCTCCCAAAAATAAAAATATCTTTTGGGCGCTGACTAAAGCCAGACCCAAGAGTCCGAGACCCTTAGGCAGACTCGACGACGCGAGAAACGCGTCCAACTTGAACTCGTACGTAGTCTCGAGAATAACCAGTAAACTTTCCAGATAAACGGTACCCTCATCGATGATATTTAACATTATCTGCTTGTAACGTTCCCGCCCGTCCGAGTTCTCTTTGGGCATCGCTTTTCGCAACATCTCGATCAGATTGTAAAACAGTATCTTCCAAAAGTGTTGCTCAACGTTCTCCGCCTGGCAGAATTTAATATCAGTCTGAAGCAGGATCTTTAAGCTAGCTTGAAGAAATTTCCGTATATACGAGACTCTCTCCAAACACGAGGTAAAGCCACCGGAACTTATTATCCATTGTAGTTCCAGATCGGCACGTTCTATGTCCAGTAGAAGGCAGTGATTTTTTGCTGAGTGAAAACTTAAAAAAAAAATTAAATAGTAATATAAAAGCATATATAATACAACAAAATTCACGAATTATATTGACAAACCATACTTGCAAAAAAAAATACGTATCTTTTGAATGATACATACCTAGCAGAAAATGGTTCATACCACGAAGGTCTCACATTTCCGATTTGGTCATTCATATAAGGTGGTGGCATATCGTCGAATTTGGCGCTATGGAAAGAGTAAGGCGGCGACGTAATACCTACATTAGATTGGAATACTGGAACGCTTGAGATTTGCATGTCGCTATCCCTTAAAAGAGAATAAAAAAATTGCTATTTAATTAATTTCTAATAGTTAATACACATCGCAAGAACGAAGAGAAGAGAAACTCGTGTTACCTCTGTACAGCTGCTCTACTTCCGGGTGAAATGATAACAATAGGTTTATGCGGATTATTCGGATCGAACAGCGTTCTCTGCTGTTGCTGCCCGCTTCCTTGAGAGACCTGAGACGTTGCAGCAGTCTGATTCGTAGACGACTGACTAGTCTCGTTAGGCAAGATCAAGACGCCCGGTTGAGCGTTACTATATCCCGGGGAAGACGATACGTGTACCGTCGAGTTTGAATTCACGCTCGAAAGTGAAGCAGGATGCGAAGAAACTTTAGGAGTTTGTCTCCCGTCATCCGACTCGCAAGTTGATATCTTTCTGCCTGTTCTCCAGTCTTCATCCAAGTACCTGTCAGTTCTGTGAAATAAGATGATTGTAACATGATTTGAGAAATATAAAAGTTGCACGTATAATTCAAAGTTTTTAACGAAATAAATACCTGCGTCTATGATCGTCAAAGTTTCTATAGCTGCCACCATAATTTCTATCTTTACTCGATTCTCGGCTACGTTGAATGATATTACGCCTCCTGTGATCGTATCGCCTACTACTATTGTTATTGTTATTATTCTTTTGATTATTGTTATAGTTATCGTTCTCTCTATTCTGTTGATTTTTCTGACGTTCGTGGCTGTTGCCTCGCCCTTTGTCTCGGCTACTTCCACTTGAATAAATTTAAAAAAATATAATTCTCGTTACATGATAAATTCTTCAACATTCATGATTATCTTTCAAAAGATAAATATAGATAAAAAGACGCAATAAAATTGTGCTTACCGATCAGGGTCACGATCACGTTTGTCACGTTTTTTTTTCTTACGTTTCCTGTGACTTTCGCCTGCGGCCTGACCTCGCACCCCACTTGTGCTTTCCCGTATACTTAATACGGACGAACTACGGCTCAAATGTTCCTGTTCTAACTTTTCATTCAACTCAACTTCTTCACTCCAGTCCTATATAATTGAAATATAATTCTATATATTTACACCACTAAATATTTAAAAAATATCAATTCATCAATTTACTGCACTTACGAATGTCTCAGATGTGGTGTAAGACGACTTGTTACACGACTCGCTTTTCATGGAGCTAAGATTCGTGTTTTGTTGATTATTCTGCTTGTCCAGATTCGAATTGTGTTCGTACGTGTTACTGGTGATTGTTCTTTGCCTTAATTAACAAAAGCTATGTCATCGACTGCACGTATAAAAAGAGCAAAAAAGAAATAAGTGACTATATAAATATTTAGTTACATGTTGCTGGTGCGATCGTCCATTGGCGATGTCGCACCTCTGCGATAATTCTCAGGCGATCTGTGACCTCTGTTCGAATTTGACTGCGAAGTTGCAGGCGATGCGGATGACGGCGGAGGCATCATTACGCTATCGGCGCGACTCAAACTTTCCATGCTGGTGTACATGGTGCTATTGCTACCACGGCGATCGTAAGACCTGTCATCCGTGAATTTTTGTAATGTTCAATAAAAGTTTTTACCAATTGTATTCATATGAAAAATTTACTTAAAATAAATTCAATATAAATATTAATATACAATCGTACCTGTTCATATATTCCTGGCTGGGAGTATGGGATCTGGAACTTGGAGCCGAGTATTGTTCGGGTGTAACAGGCCTAAAAACACTGCTGGCTGTACCATCCAGTTCCTCGGGTCTAAGTCTACCTCTACCTCTGCCCCTCGTCGGTACAGTATTAGCCCAACTGGACTGCGATGGTCCAGATGGTGGCAGATTTTGCATCGTTTGTGAATGCTGCATAGATTGTGGTGAATAATTATAACTGGACAAACCCTGTTAACATATATATATATAAATATATATATATATTATAGTCCATATATTCAATCATGAACTGCAAAAACACACTGGCAAAATCAATACAAAATATAAAGCACTGAACGAATTTTTACCTGAAATGTAATACTGCTACCGTTCCAAGAGTCCTCTGCGGACGTTCCTGGATTGTTAGGTAACGCGTATCCATTGTCAATGAGATATTTCTTTTGCAATCGCGGCGGCAAGAGTTCTAACTTGGCATTCTTCGGCAAACTGTCTTTCATATTGCGTCGACCTGTGGGTGGCTTGCCTTGAAACTTATCCGAATGTCCAACGGGCTCTACACTGCGAGTGTCTCGCGTACGATTAAAATCATTCTGGTTGGTCATAGATAAAGGTTCCGAGCCCTAATAACACGCAAAAGATGTATTTCCCACGTTAAACTATACACAAACTTTTGTATTATAATTGGATAATCTGTGATTGTTTTGCAGTACAATTTCATTATTTCAAATCACACAGACCTGTCTGACTTCACGTAGATTGTCCTTTCGATTCACGCAGTTTCTGGCGGATACCGGCGATTCGGATCGCCAGTACCAACGCTCCTCGTTTTCGTTGACGTGACGATGTCGACGATTACCCGAATACCGTTTACTGGTGTCGTCTCTACCCCTGCCTTCGCTCTCATTGTCTTGCGCGCTGTGACTGCTCGCACGATTGCGATCGCTTTTGTGATTACGATTGGAATGAGAATCGCGATCGTTGCTCTCTTCTCTCTCACGTTCCCATGCAGCGTGGCTGGGAGATCTAACAGAATTTAATAGCTCATATTATAGGATGATAATAGACGTTACAGTCGTGTTACTCTTCCAAGTATTATTTTATTAACGTTTTTATTTATTAGGATAGTTATTATGTATTAGGATTTTATTTATGCTTAGATCAAATGGGAATGATTATTTATGCTTAGAACAAAAGGGCATGATTGTTTTACCTATTGGTTCCATCCTGTTCAGCCAGTGCTTCCTTCACTTTCTTCGGTACGTACAGCAATTGCTCAGGTTTCCTATTTTTCCTTTTCGGATCGTTTCTACCTGCACCCCCGCCAGAGTTGTTGCCGGTGCTTTGCGTCGGTTCGCTATTGCTGCTATTTCTATAGTTAATATGGGTATTGTCCAGTTTTTCAGTTACATTGTCGATTTGTGACAGAGGTGGACTGTCCTGTGCCTGATTTGTTCTATTAAGCTGTGACTGCCTCAGACGATACTGGACAGAGGGCGGCAATCTGGATTTCTCTTGCGAGCCATTCTCATTATCGTACTCGTCGGCGGTGCTGTTAGATCTGCCTGACTTACGTAAAGGGCCACTTCCTGGTCTGTACAAGGCCTGAGACGCTCTATTCCCTCCGCCACGCATCCCCGCCAGTCGTTCCTTCTCCAATTTAGAAGTCATTGATTCTGAAAATTGTATTACAATACTGCTCGTAGAAAAATCCAAGTTTTTCACAATCAATCTCCTCCTTGTATTCACAAACGTTTTATTCAAATATTTTACATGTATAATTATCATTTTGTTGCTCATTTACATATAAATTATCATCAAATCATGATTATATGACAGCAATTTTAATACAGAATAACACAGAAATATACATATAAATTGTTACATATTGCATCATGGTTTCTTTTCTTTAATCATATCTTTTCAATACATGTATAACACAGTAATAAAAATACAATATAAAATAAAGGCTGATTTGGTTTGATAAAACTGATATTAAACCAAATATCTCACATGTGTATACTTCTTTATTTAGATACGCAATTATAAATAAAGCGATTGTGAGTCTATGACATCATTCACTCTGTAACACACTTGTATGTACAATTACTCAATATCATACACAATATTGCATATTACAGATCAGAAAGTTGACAGAAGAGTAGACAAAGAAAAATTCCGCAAACTTATACGTATGATGCGTCCCACTTGTAGCTTAAAAGTTCCGCATCTAAGATCTACTTCTCGACGAGTGTAGCGAAGTCAGAGAACTCGCGGAGCGAAGTACCGACTTTTACAAAAAAAAAAGTAAGTATGCGGAGTCGTTTGTGTTGACACTCTCGACGACGCGCCGGAATTTAGCTGGAGCGGAACGTCCCCTTCGCGGCGCGGAGAACGCCGCCCGGTCGGGAAACCGAACGCGAGTCGGCGGCACGGAATCCGCCCCGTCGAACGAAGCGCGACGCGATCGCCGGATTCAATCGTCGCGTCGGCCAAACGCCATAAAATAACACGACATCGCAGTATGCCCCGCTCTCAGGGTGTTTGTAGGTTAGCACGAACGGTGAGGTTAATTTCGCCACGGTCGGGCCGTCGAGGATCCGAGTCGCCGGGAACGAGATCGCGGACCCGGGCCGAAATCGGGCGCGCGAGAGTGCCAGCGACGGCGCGACGCCGCACGATCGTTCCGCGCGCGAAATAATGGCATTTTCGCCGAGATACCTTGTGAAAATCCTCCCCACTTTCTGCGTCCTTTGTCGCGGTTCGCCATATTGAAATGCAATCGCGTGAAGTCAAGATTTTTCTACCGCAGCGACGTCCGCGAGTGCGACTAGCGAGGAATCGAGAGGTGTCGTGCCGACCGACTCTCGTCGGAGGAAGCCGAGCACTACGGCGCCACCTATGTGCGTCTTCTTTCGTGAGCCTCGCGACAGCGGCTAATTTATCGACCGTCAATGACGATACCGCTGGATTGATAGTAGGTAAAGTTTGTTTTTTGCGCCTTATCTGATTATATAAATTTTGTTTGAAGCTTTAAACTTGACCCATCACAGTCGATTATTCTCCTTACGTCCCAAGGAGAATAGAAAAGTCAAAATATATATAATATCAATTTGATGTAATATTGATCGAATTTACATCACTTAAATGATGCAATTTCGGTTAGTATTACGTAATTTAAATGACTTAATTTTGGTCAATATTACGTCAATTTGATATTAATTTTGACTTTTCTATTCTCCGTGGGATTCGATTAATATATGAGATTATAATCAATTTATAGAATATATGCTTACATTAAATAAAAGTTTAACAGGATCGAACTAATAAACGCGCTTCTAAAATTCTAACAACTCTTAAAACTTAAAAAAAAAGATAAAAAATATAAATTTTACCGAGATTAAAATTAATCCGCATCGGTAGAGGCGACACGGACATTATCAATTAGACCGCCAACCGCGGTACACGTGACGAGAAGACGAGAATATTCTAGAACGTTCGAAACGTCGTTCGAGTGCAGTGTGCCTCCACGTATCTCTCTCGGTTACAATGTCGAATTTCACGGATCCGCACGTCGCTTCGCTTCGTAGCTGTTCAGGTAGAATAGCGTCCGTACGTCTGGTGGAACGTTGCCTGGACGTGGTGGCCGAGACAGGATTTCGGGAGAGGTAGGCCGGTGTGGGGAACATGTGCGAGCGCGCGCCCAATCGTCGATTCACAGCGTTTATAGTTCGATAGGTGGAACCTCGGAGCTGTCAGCAGCGAGCCTCGTCAGTCTGCTCTCGCATGGCTCGGCGTCATGAGGCACGCAACAAGAGACTCGATCTCCTCCGATCGCGAAATGACAGAGAATACGGAACAGACGAACCATCCTTGGAGTGCTCTGGTGACCGTAGCCGCGTTTGATCAGGGTAGGTATATATAAATATTTATATAATATATAAACGTGTACCATCGTTCCGCCAATCTGGCGCTCTTTTTCGAATATTCAAAGTTATCTTCCCTCGGCCGAAAATGTATATAAGATTGAGTGACTTTTATCCGTTTGAAATGTTTAAATTTGCTCTCCAAAATGCGTTATCCTCCGATTCTATTTCATTTACGAAAAACGAATTTTTACAAAGAAAAAATGTAGGAGAAAATTCGAAATTTTTTGTCTAACATTTATCTTAAATTAATAAGCGACAAAATTCATTTCAATGTGAAGGAAAAAAAGATATCTCGCAAAAATATGTTTATGTACAATAATTTTTTCCTCTTTTTTTTGTTATATTATACAGGCATCATATCGTTGATAAAAAAGTGACACAAAGTTTTTTTTACTCAATAAAAAGAAAATCTTAAAATCAGACTTTAGGTCGACTTTTCCTTTCGTTAGCTTAAAAAATAATTTTTTTTTATTAATTGTCGCTTTTTTTTCAATGCAGCGATATATTACATTATTCTTTATCGTTGAAAATGAATATTTTTATAAGTTTTTAAGACTAGAATATTTTGTTTTTAATCTTGATTTCTCTAGGAACGGGTGACAATGTCAGACCGATCAGTATTTACCTCACCGACATTGATGAAAACCAAAGCAATGGAACAATCCAGCCACAAGAGCAGCAAATAGCTCAATCCGCTAGTGTTTTAATCGAATCGCTCGTACAACAATTATGCACTGCAATGGAACAGGATAAAGCCAAGAGAAAAAGATTATTTTATAGTAATTGATTTTCTTTCAGCCTTACCAGTTGGCACATAGAAATTTTCTGTTAAGAGGTAATGATAATGATTATGCTTGTATTTTACAGTTGTCTGTAATCGACTACGCCAAATGAATTTAATTAATGACAATTACTACACGACGGAATACGAAATATTAAGAGGACAGTATGAACGTGCTTTTTGCCACATGCTTAAACTTGCTCACATTGAACTTGGAAACGAAAATGTTCTAGCTATGTCCTTACCAAGGTATTATAATATAAAGAAAGCAAAATGATATCAATTTAACGTTACAAGATCTAGAAAAACATATATCGTATATTCTATACAATATATATGTTTTTCTAGATCTTATAACGTCACACATTAATGATATTATTTTGCTCTTTATGCAGATTTATAATACCGAAATTGTTCCGTTATCACGAGGAATTTCACGAAATATGCTTCATTGCTCGTGGAGGATTTGGCAAGGTTTATAAAGCGCAACACCGTCTCGACGGCATCGAATATGCGATTAAAAAAATAACCATGCCCGTTGATCATATGGAGACAATCCAGACGCAACTGAAAGAAGTGCGGACATTGGCTAAATTAAATCATACTAATATTGTTTCGTACAATGCGGCTTGGATCGAACCAAAATTTCCATCTCCCAGTGCCTCGACATCCCCAGATCGTAAATCATCACACAGATCAAAGTATCATCAACCAGTATCCAAATACAACTCGCAGACCATTGACGATTTATTCAAAAGTGAAAAAGGTCTAAATCTTAATAATAATAATAAGATATGCCACAGTGAGCGAAATATATTACGTGATACTAAAGTATCTGCTAATATTGATATGTATACAGATACAAGAGAGAAAAAGATATGTGAGAATACTGGTGATAGTAGTAGTGCTATTAGCATAAGATTTGAGGAAGTCAATTCATTAGATAACGCCATAAAGGAAAGGATCACAGAAGATAGCAATATAGAAGAAAGTACTGACGAATCCAGTTTAGACGTAATTTCTTTCCAAAAAAGCAAAAATAAAAGTAAAAGTACAGATGAAACAATTACCGACACAGATACTAGTAGTAGTTATTCGTGCGAAGAATCCAGTAGCCAAAAAGTGTGCACGTACACTTCCACAGAAGTAAGTAAATAAATATATCGGTAATGAATCGATAATATATATAAATATATAAAACAAGGGCTAGTGAGAATCAACGCGGTACTTGATGCGTGCGAAATCCAATCCTTTTAATTATTACTAATTCTTTATTATTTGAACGTTTCGGCTCTGATTTGAGCCATCTTCAACAATAATGAGACCTAATTCCTTTCTCCGCACACGTGACAAGTCTCCTAAGTATCACTCATGATCGGTTGGTGAACCGATTTTAGAGATTATAGGCGATTTAAAATTGTGGCAGAGAGTAGAAGTCACAATAATGAATCGTTAAATCGCAGGACAATAGTACGTTATAATAAATATCAAATAAATATACATATAAAACGAGTGAAACGACTTTCTATTAAAAATTATTTTAATATGTATATGTTTTATTAGACCCGAACCGTTCAACTATTGTAATGAAGAATTTTAATAATTAAAAGGATTGGATTTCTCAAGTACCAAGTACCGCGGTGATTCTTAATACCCCTCGTTTTTCCTTATTTTTTAAATTTGAAAGTCCGTTAGATTTATTGTTACATAAATATATAATTGTTTTGAAACAAAGTTGAATATTGAAAGTATATTGATTAACGTGAATTTTAATATTTATTATGTTTGGATCAACAGAATCGACCATACGTGATTTTATACATTCAAATGGCCTTGTGTGAACAAACACTCGAGAAATGGCTGCACGGTAAAATAAGTGCAACTCCTGAACCAATGGTTAGAGCGATATTTCAACAGATTGTTTCTGGAGTCAACTATATACATTCTCAAGACATTATACACCATGATATAAAGGTAAAAATACGCATGTTTAATTAAAAGATACACACACACACCCACACACACACACACACACACACACACACACACACATATATATATATATATATATATATATATATCTTCTAAAATATAATAGAAAATGTTTATGTTTTATAGCCAAGCAATATATTTATTTCGACATCGGGACAACTTCAGATTCAATTGGGTGATTTCGGTTTAGCTTGTCTGAATCACAAAATTACAGAATTACAAAAAGAAAAACGTCATAATTCTGTGATTGGTACTCATTTGTATGCAGCACCAGAACAACTAAAGGGAAAGTGTGATCAAAAGGTAATTAAGAAAAAAAAAGAAATTTCTGGAGACTGCAATATTATATTAATATACTTTAATATATTCTCTATTTTGATATTTTTTACAGAGTGATATCTACAGTATAGGAATTGTCCTCATCGAGCTTTTAATTTTGATAAAAACGCAAATGGAGTTATGTGCTATAATTAGATCCTTAAAGAATGGTAATATACCAGAAGTTCTCATCAAGCGACACAAATGGGTGAGTTTTATTTATTCATATATTTAAGTATTTTTATTGCATTTTATATCATATACATTTATATTATATCTTGTTAAACCCGAATTGTGTATGCTTTTAGACACTAGTAGTCATGCAATTGATACAAAAGGATCCTGGCAAACGACCATCGTCGAGTGAACTTCTGAAGAATTTTGACGACGACAAGGATATAGTAATAAATAGTTTGAAAGATACTGTTTTGAAATTAACAGATGATAATCGCGATAAAGATAACACAATTCAAAAACTGCAAGAACAGATTACATTCTTGCAATCTCAATTGGATTGCAATAATGCATTATTAAAGGAAAAAGTTGAGAAATTGTCACCTGACAAGAGCATAAACTAGACTGTTACGGAGCCTAAATTTGCGAAAAACCTTGACATGACATTAAGAAGACTGCAAGTATCATGTTTTTCTCGAGTTAATTCCTAAGAAAATAATAATTTACGCACGTAAAATCAGATTAGTTTTTAAATATTTTGGAAGTTCGATTTTGATCCAACTCTTTGTTTTAAATAGACATGAGCAATATCTGGATATATAATAATTCCTACTCAGTATACTTTAGACGTCCGAGGGAATGTTCTTCCCAAGGACATACATCGTTAAAACGTTCCTCGGAGATCTATACTGTATGAGTTTTTGCAGATAGGTACATACACATTTATATCTTAAATCAATCAATGATCTTATTGTTAGTCAATTGTATTTATGATTTACAAATATTTGACGTACGCTAAAATGAGGCTGTAAGATATCTGGAATTGAATAGTGCCAATTAAATCTTTTAGTCGAATATAACGTACGTAAAACTATCTTGCGTAAATATCAAATATTTTATATTGTTACTATGTACGCAATATATACAGGGTGTCCAAGAAATCGCTTGCGCAATACTTCGGGACTAAAAAAAAAGGAATAAAAGTTATATAAACATAGGTCTGAAAATGAGTTGTTTCCACGGAGTATTAATTATAACACTTAAAAATCGTAATAATAATCATAATAAGTAATCATGATGATTAATATGATAATAAAAAATAAATTACGATTTTTTAAGTTATATCTACTTTTATGTTAAAAAATGAAATTTATTTATTTTTTAATAATTTACGATTTTTATTATTTCCAGACCTAGGTTTGTATAACTTTTTTTCCTTCTTTTTGAGTCCCGAATCACCTCGCATATTACAGGCGATTTTTTAGACATCCAATTTTTATTATAAGCATGTATGTATAAGCATTTTACTACATATGCATCAATTAAAATGCATCAAATATTATGTTTTCTTTTATTTATTAACACTGTTTTGTATAATCTGCAAACATACATAAATCGATTATCCCTTCAAACTTCCCTATAAACATTAATGCTAAGGTAATAAATTAAGCGATATATATAAATGCATTTTATTATCATATGTGTTAAATTTAATTGTGATTACATATCATTTTTCTATAAAATTTTATATTATTTTATTGATAAATTAATTTGCAATATAACATTAAATTATAAATTAACATAAAAAATATTCTTTGAAAAGATTATAAAAGATAACAAAGGTAAAACATATTTAAAATATTCAACAAAATAATATGGAATTTTTCAAGATATTGTAACCATTATAATTTAAACTATTTTATATTGTATTCATGTTGAGATAATTCTAAAATCATATCCAACAATGCCTTGAGTTGCTGACCAAAAAATATTCTGGAATTGATAGAATCAGGAACAGCACATTGTTGTAATAAATACTCAATATCTGGATACTCCTGTTCAATATTAGTAGGTATATCTTGAAGAAATCCACCAGGAAAAGGATTTTCATTTCCTAAATTTAATAGAAGCTGCAAGCACATTTACAAATATATTTAATATACTATCTATAAAACGATATATTTGACTTTATAATTATGTATAAATAAACTGACAATTACTTGACAAATTGCATAATAATTGTGATCACTTAGATGATGATTGCAAATATCCTCGGCGGAAAATGCAAAACAATCGGGGCAATCGAAGTGCATCGTGTTCTTATGTATTTTCTGCCACTCCTTTGGTTCATCTATAAATTATATATATCAAGCATGCAATATATTCGTCAATTGTCATTAGCTCGCTTATTTTTGTAACAAGAAAATTTCTATTACCTTCTTGAGAAATATTTTTGTCAACGATAATGATATTCTCCAAATCGATAAATTTCGCTACATTTTCATGGTCAATGGCAATATTATCGGCCGATATATCCGTTAAATAAAAACCAAAGCTTTCATTCTTGAAGGTAAACAAATAAGCGGCATTCAAAAGGCTCGACGCTATTTTCACTCTTTGAATCCAAGACTTGTCATAATAATCAGACAGTGGTAACCCGACATATTCCTCGATAATAATCCGGCCGCAAGCTCCGAAATATTTTGGCACAGGCCATCCATCTTCGGCAGATAAGATCTGAAAGAAATGTCGAGAGGTGCATATTCAATTTTTTTCAAGAATAGTCTAACATTATCTTAATAAAAAAAAACCCTAATTTAACTACCTAGAGAGTACAGAGAGTTTAAAAAAAACTCAGTTATATGTCACCAATTCTGAGTTCATTTTCAGATGCAAAAAGAATTCTTCTAAAAATTCTGAAAAAGAATTCTTGCACCTGAAAATGAACTCAGAATTGATGTTGTACAACCGAATATACTAATGAATTCTTTTTTACTCTATGTGCTATCTGATAAGTATATATAGCTTTCATATACTTTTGCAATTTACCTGAAGAATTAGTGGTTCTGGATTTATGGAAACCAATGTCCAGAGATTGATTAAATACTGTGTGGGATCGACGAGTTTATTATTGAGATGAACATTGTAAAATAGATCATCCAAGTGTCCTATTGTTGGACAAAGCCTCAAGCGACTTGTGTCGTCCTTGGAAAAATCCGAAGTAATTATCTTTCTAATGAGATCATAAAAATCTGCTGTGTATCCGTCCAGTGGAACACTCGAGCAAGGATATCCCAGTTGGAGTTCGCTGCATAACGTAACGTCAAGTGCTTTTAATTCGGACGAGTGTGCCAATTTCTTGAGCACCACCTTGCTCTGATTGTACGTTCCAAAGAACACGTTCTTAACGCCGAACAAATGGGAAATTATCGCATTAACGTTATTCCACAGAAGATCCACTTTGTGAATGTTGTGACATGCGGAAACTCCGTAACACGCCGGACACTTGTGCAGCTCCGTCAGCTGTGTTACAGAAGGATATAAACTTTGTAAAATACCATTTATTCTTGATGCAAGGAGGCAGGTACCGATTAACAGTAATATCTTCCATTTTTTAAATCTCACGATGTTACGTATGTAATACAGGATCATTAATTAACAATTATATCCTCCTTTTTGTACACAGAGGCATATTTTACAGGCTTTTCTTGGTTATGTGATTGTACAGCCTTTCAGATTCAAAATTATATGGCACAGAATGACTTAAATTTGTAACTCCATTTTACTGTTTTTATATCAGAATTATTAGATTCTTTTCAGATAATATTTATATAATACTCTTAATCCTTAATATTTATATAATACTCTCATTACTCTCATTACTCAAACTTCAAAACACGAGTCTGTTTCAGGTTATATTTCTTGCCCGGCGTTTTAAATGCGTGAACCCATTTCCTGAACGGGTTTTGGAACGCGGTAACGTAATTGCATTATGCTATGGACTATGCACAATAAACTTCAATCACTCGTAATCTTTGCAATGTTATGTATTTCTACCAACGTAGATTAACTTGAATCTAGGTTTAACTTATATCTTTTTCTACTTTTAAGAATTAGAAAACGATAAAAAGTAAAACCGTGATTAAAGTTAATCTACGTTGGCAGAAATGGACAATAGAAATATTATATATTTCAATTTCTCTGCCGGTGACTGCGGTGCCGCCACCTGAAATCGCTGCTCCGCCTGTTGTTTATTCAAAGAGAGCCGCTTGATAGCGAAATCGCCACCTTTCCCCTTCTATCTCGGATCTAAATCGGGCGATCGTAAAATGCCTCGACGTATGTTCCGTCCATGGGCTGTGCTTTGTTGTGCGTCAAACCGTTCCATCTTGCAGTCAAGTCAAATCCGGCCAGTCCGACGTGTCGCTCGATGCTGATAATGCAAATTCATTAGAGCAAACCTAACCGTGGACGAATGTTAAATGAGAACGAGAATTCATTTCGACGCACGGTACCGCATGTAGATACGACACGACATGGTGTGATAAATATTACCCCTGTGACTGTTTCCTAATCATTCGTGTGTAGAACTTGCGGAAGGTCGTGTACTCCTGTTTTTTGTTCTTTCACGCGAACCGTCGTATTTTCGTCGCCCAACCGGAGATTACTTGTCGCAGGCTGCAACTGTAATGCGTTTAATCCACATGGGTCTCAACGATCTGGTGCACTGGTGAGGAATTCTCTGTTCGCGTCGAGTTTGTTTTGTACTAGGTAGCTAAAAATTTGACGTTATTCGGCGACGGTTCCCGGAACTCGGACGTTTAATTTGGGCGTTAGATGTTAATTAGAAAGTAACGATATTGGCGATGATGCGGGAACGGAGAGACGACATGAAGGGCAACTAGATTGATAAGATGTAAATTCTTTCAGGTATCAAAAAAAGATTGGAACGTATGATAAGCAGCAATGGGAGAGGACTATAGAGCAGCATATTCTTGACGGGCTTACGCACGTCCCGATGAGAACAACGAAACTCAAAACGGAGCTGATCGACGTGGATCTCGTTCGCGGTACGCTGCAAAGATATTAACAGCTGTGTATATTACATAAAATACTAATAATATTCATATATATATGTATATATATATATACACATACAGGGTGTTTATAAAGTATCGGACCCTCCCTCTATCTCAGAAAGATCTCAGAATTTCCTAAAAGTTTTGTATTTAAAGTTTTTTTATTCAGTTAGTATTTTCTGAGATAGAGGGGGGGGAGGGTCCGATACTTTATGAACACCCTGTATGTATGTATATTAGTATTCCCTGATAGGCATATATATTCATCCATGATATATCAATGTGTGTAGGATCCTCATTTCCAAAAGCCAAGCCGAAGCATGGTCTGTTGACGGTAGCTTGCCTAGCGTTTCAGCGACTCTTGTTCCTTCCGTTGTACAAAAAGTGGTGGATACAGCAAACGAGTCATCGCATTTTTGTGCTTTTCTTGTTACTGTACAGCTTGCAAGCGATCAATCTCTTCCTGTATTACGTTTACGCGAATAGAGAAAATGAGGCGGAAGTATGAAAAGTTTATTTGTTGATCTTCTAGAACATGTTGCATTGCTATCTTCCCATCTTGATCGTCACGTCTGTTTACAGATTGTGTCAATGTCAGAAGTATTAGTACCTGTTGTTATGATGTTTGTTCTGTGCATTGTCCATTCCCATATTGTGTCGACACATTCAGGCCCTACTATGACTTATAATCAATCCAGACAACGAATAACAAGACGCTCTCGACATGTTAGATGCAGAAATGGGAAATCGAGGCCTAGACAAAATTTACGTAAGTTTACAAAAGTACAAAGGACACTTAATTTTATAACATTTTCATAACAGTGTTCATCTTTTCTCTTTTTCTCTCCATATTAGAGAGAGAGAAAAAAAAGAGAAAAGATAAACGGTGCAACAGTATTTAGCTAAAGAGAACAGGTCTGTATAAATCTGTATAAATCTTAATTAAAGGTGTACATAAGGATGCAAAATCCTCTCAAGATATAATTTCGGAGAAAGCGAGTACAGGAAGCGAAGAAGTATTCACTGCAGTAAGATTTGCTAAGAAAGTGGTCATACAGAATTCCTCAACTGTTAGCCAATCTCAGGTAAATGTTTTCAGATTTCAAATCTACAATATTTATCTAATTATCATACGTATGTATTTGAAATTTTCTGTTGTAATAGGAACTTGCAAGTGCTCAAGTAGTATATGACAAAGAATCGATAAGTACAACCGGAGAAAATTCTGATCCCGCAAACGAAAGTTCAACTAATCGTGAACAGCAAGGTAAAAAAAAATCTTATTTATCTGTTGCAAGCGGTTATCATATATTTCGCGTGCGGTAATCATATATTTCGCGATTCGTGTATCTTTAACAGACACTTCTCTCTGTAACAGATGATGTACCAGAGGAACATGTACCAAACATCCATCAAGATGACGATGGCTTTGAGAGTTTAAATGGTAATGTTTCCAGTGATAATGACAAAGTGATAGGCCGCGCACTGGTGCAGAGAAATAAGTCACGACTGGGTGTAGCACAACAGAGTAAAGATCATATGTCATGGTCGGAAGACAGCACTGGCCAACAAATTTCGACAAAGAACTCAGGTTTGGTTTACAAGTACATGCCTGTAAAAAATAGTTTGTTGGACAGTTAACAGTTTTGCAAAGATGACAAGTCTTTACTGACACACAGCTACAGACAACAGAACTTATAAATGCGTAATTTTTCTAAAAATGTAAAAGTAACTTTTTAAATATTTAATTAATAGCTCTTTCAATTTTACGATTCATGTAACACTGTGTGAAAGTAATCTTTTTTTTTTTATTTGTTTTTGTTTGTGGTTGCTTTCCGAACCGCTAACACGCTTTAATCTTTGTTGGAAAGGTATAAAATGGAGTAATAGCTAAATCATCGTTTTCCACTTTCCACGCAGCACCTGACCCATTAAAAAATGATGACAATTTTACGGATAGCAAAAGCAATATTCACGGCAATCTTAAGGTACTATCACTTATATAAGTTTCACTTATCTTTTTTTTCTTTTCAGATGTATAACCTAATAAAATTTCTGTTTATTTTTTTTTTATGATTGCGCTTATTTTTTTTGTTAACCAATTCTTTTTAAATATTTTTTAATATCCTTTATTAAGAACGAAAGATATTTTGATTCATATTTAATGCATATTAATATTTATCTAATATTAATCTGTCGTCTTTGTCGTATTTTTGTTAATTCAAGGATAAAGATGCTTCAACGAAAGTATTGGGATCAAGAGAGACACGGCAGCAGTGCGAGAGCGAGGAAGAAGGCGAGTGTGAGGAAGCTACGACGCATCATCTCACGGAGGCAACAACTTCCGCCACGGAATGGATGGGAGTAACTACCAACAGTGACGAGTGTAGTTACAGGTAAGATACTATATTTTAATATTATCTTAACAAGGCATAACTTTTCATAGGACGAAATTATTACAGCTCGGAACTCGGGGAATCCGACTTGGCCAGCGAGACTAATCTCAACTATGGAGAGTTTGTGGAGCATCCTTTCTCATGGGAATTTGAGTTACCGCCTTCGATATTATTTAATTCTACTTGCACATCGTCCGATCGCGGTTAGTACACGACAAATTTTTCATATGAATAAAGATATGCGGGGGTTCGTCTTAAGCAACTGTACGTTCCACAAATTTAACAACAGACGCAAATTTAATAATGTCTACTTTGCACCACTTTGTTTACAGTTTCGTGTACGATTTGGACGCGGCGTGATATTAAAAAGGCTGAATTATCAGTGCTCGATATCAGTTCAGCGATTATCGCCAGAGTCGAATCCATGCCGGAGGGCATGAATTACTTTTACGGCGGTCTGATACTCAGCGTCGCATTATGTCTCATACCATCGATAAAACGGCTGAGTGATCACATTGGATCAGATAACATCGGTAATGCGTCCGTTAGTCTTTTGCCAAGTGATATGATTCAGGTGAACTTTGAAACCTACACGGATGTCTTGTGCAGAATAATTGGTATCGCATTCGGGAGCACTTTTTGGTAAGAGAATATTCATTTCAGATTTGCATTTAAAAATGTTTACGAATTAGTTGTTTCTCTTTTCTTTAAACGACTGTACTCTTTTCTCAGGGAACGAACAGTGGTGCTAATTTCAACGTTCGAACGATTTATGCTGTCATGCTGTCTGTTTTTCCTGTTAGCAGTAGCGGAGCGAACGTACAAACAAAGACTTTTGTATGCAAAATTATTTTCTCACTTAACATCATCCAGACGCGCGCGAAAGTCTGACCTGCCGCACTTCCGTTTGAATAAAGTGCGCAATATAAAGACATGGCTTAGCGTCAGATCTTACTTGAAGGTAAAAATATTAAATATGCTCGTCAGTTTAAAAATTAAATTTGTATGTCTCATACTTTACATTGTACAATTTATATTGCAGCGAAGAGGTCCGCAACGATCTGTAGACGTAATTGTTTCAGCAGTGTTTATTGTTACATTATTACTGCTGTCATTTGTAAGTTTGGAATTGATTAAAGTAAGTACATTTTATTTTATCTATTTTAACAAATCTTTTTTTAAATTTTTTATTTCTTTTAACAATGCAAATCTTATTTTAGGATCTCGAAAGTCTGCACTCACGATACAATGTGGAAGCATTATTCTGGAGCTTCTCGCTTGGGATATTTATATTACGGTTTATGACATTAGGAACAAAGATCAACAAAAAGTACAGAAATCTCTCGGTATTGATAACTGAACAGGTAGACTTTGTTGTATAATAAACTTCTATTGCTATTATATGCTTAAACTTCTATTTTAGAACGTTTTCTTATTTTTTTTTGTAATTTTTAGATCAACTTATATTTGCAAATTGAGCAAAAACCACATAAGAAGGAAGAGCTTATGGTTGCAAATAGCGTATTGAAATTAGCGGCTGACTTAATAAAGGTATATATTTTTTTTACAAATTCAATGAAGGATCAATAATGAATTAACTAATTTAAAGGGATTTTTTTTCGCAGGAATTGGAGAGCCCATTCAAAATCTCTGGGCTGTCGGCTAATCCGTATCTATACACCATTACTAAGGTGGTGTTGCTGTCGGCACTCTCAGGAGTGCTTTCGGAACTGCTTGGTTTCAAGCTGAAACTACATAAAATAAAAATCAAATAGAGAAATGTAAGATATGATACGTGAGGGACAAGTCATTGTCTATCAATCTCAGACTATCTGCTGGATTTGAACTTAATCTATCCTCAGCGAAAATCGTTTGGCTTAATATTATACTTAGTTAACTTTAAGATACTTTAGATTCGAGACTGTAAGTAAACAAAACCTTATTTAACTAGTCAAATTAATGACAATTCAATATAATACTCAATATATTCAAAATTTAAAAAAGTTCGTATTAAAAAAAGATTTATAGTTCTCACTAAAAAAAATTATTTCAAATTTATCAAAAAATTTGAAGAAAAAAAGCATATGACTTTTCTTCTACACACAATTCTTTGCTACATGACTTTACTTCATTTATATTGGAAGAAAGATTGCATATTATATATTAATAAAATAATGAACATATTTCATTAAATTCATGGCCAACTAATTTAGCAAGAAAAAATTATAATACGAGGGTGGCTCAATAATTATTCGGAATATATAAAATTTATTAAAAACGAAGTAAAAAAACTTACAAGTACATCGCTTTGCAACGTAATATTTCCCCTTGCTTTCTAATACGTAATCTACAAATTTATGTGTTGAAAAGCAACGAGACTATTTTGCGTAATGACATGATGTAGCTTTTCTATCGTTCTTATAAATTTTTTTAATATATTTCGGATAAAATTACTTATATCCTCGTATGTAGATGAAATCACTAACGCACACATTTAACAAAGCAATACATTATTGTATGCTATCTGAATATTGATTAGCCTATAACTTTTCGAGTTATTGTATATTATTATTTTATCACTATTAGCCTACTATGTTTAATGTTGAAAATTGTATTAAAAAAATTCTTGCACTTAATGAAGATGTGTAGAGTACTTGGAATTTTTTTCAATGTACAGTATAATTATATATTGAAAAGGGCTCGACTGTGTAAGGACTTCCCTCAAGAGTTTTTTTTTATAGTTTTAAATTAAAATTTTCTGAATGTTGTAGTAAATTAATGTTGTTGTGAATGGAAAACATTCTATTTTGTATATTATCTTGCATCTATTTTAGCAATTCAGATTATAGTATCTATTCGGACGAACATATTCACGAGCTTAATTAATGATAACGAGATCACTCATCACGTATATCCTTAAGGCTATGTATGAGAGCGAATCAATAATTGTCTTAAATATATATATTTGTAAAATTTATTCATAGCCCTAATTTACATTTACATTATTTTTTAACATAGTTGCTTTTCGTCCAGTGTCCCATAAATTTATTTGTGCTCTCAGAAGAAAAATATTTTTGATCGATTTCTCAGTTAAGCATCACTTTTTTCATATTTTTAATCGATGATAAGAGGATGACTAAAAATAGATAGAAATTCAAAGAAATGATTATTATTTGAGAATGATATTTTTTACTGTTCGTTTTCTATTCAAAGACAATTCAAAGAAATTTGCCTCATAGGTCATAAACAAGCCCTCAGACCACAAATTTATGCTGGACTAAAAACAAGAGGAAAATAAAAAAATAATGTAAATCTAAAAATGTAAATTGGAGCTTTAATAAATTTTAATACATTCTGGATAATTATTAATCGTTATATAATTTGATGACTTGCAATATATTTTCGTAGAGATAAAATGTATTTGAAATGCGTGCATAAGTATATTCAAGAATTTAGAATACATTTGAGGCATATGTAAATACTGTATTACGAGATAGAGTATGTATTATGAGAAAAATGGTACCTGTGCGATAATAAGATTGAATGTAAATTATTTTTCAAACATGTTTAAACTTGAAAAATAGAAGAAATAAAAGCAATTGTATGTATATGAAATTTACATATATGTACATAAAAAAAAACTGAAAAATATTTTTAATACTTTATATGTTATAAAACATAATTATTTTTATTTGTAGTTAATTTCAGATTTATGGTTTGCCTCTGTTTATATCAATGTAGACATTGTAGACTATAGAAAATTTAATTGTCAAGAAAAATCATTTCAAAAGGTAATCTCGGTATCTTTATATATGTTATATAAATGTCTATATATATATATATATATAT